ACAGATTTGAGAGCAAGAATATACCTCCTTGAACTTTGAGAGAAACAAGTAGTACACAATATAATCAAGCAGAGTCAGCATGGCTTCATGAAAGGGAAACCAGGCCTGGCAAATTTTCTAGATTCTTTGAGGAGGTAACATGCAGTATAGGCAAAGGAAAAGTAGAAGATATATATATATTTGGATTTTCAAACAGCACTTCATCAGGTACCACACATTAGGCTACTTAATAAGGTAAAATAATAAGATAAGAGCCCATGGTGTTGGAGGTAGTGTGTTAGCATGGTTAGAGGACTGGCTAACACAGAAGTCAGAGAGTTGGGTACAGGGGTATTTTCAGGAAAGCAACCTGTAAATAGTGAAGAGCCACAGGGATCAGTGCTACAGCCCAATTATTTACAACATAGCGAATTGAATGAAGAAGGTAAATGTACCATGGCCAAGTTTGCAAATGACACAAAAACAGGTGCGAAGGCAAGAGACGAGGATGACAAAAAAAATCTGCAAACAGGTATCAGCAGGTTAAGTGAGTGGGTGAAAACTTTCAAATGGAACAAGATGCGGGAAAATATGAGCTAATGCACTTTAGCAGGAAGAACAGAGGAGCTGGATATTACTTAAATGGAGAAAAACTGCGAAAGTTGTGGAACAGAGGGATTCGGGAGTCCTCATCCATGAATCATAAAACACTAGAATCCACGTACAACAGGTAGTAGAGAAGGCAAATGGAATATTGGCCCTTATTTCAAAGGCAATGAAGTATAAAAGTAAGGAAGTTATGCTAAAAATATACAAGAGCACTATTCCGAACACAGCTGGAATACTGTGAACAGTTCTGGGCCTTTTATCTAAGGGAAGAAAAGTTGGCACTGGAGGCAATCCAGAGAAGGTTCACTAGGCTGTAACCAGTTATGAAGGGATTGTCTTAATGGAGAGGTTGAGTGGGTTGGGCCTGTACTCATTGGAATTTAGAAGAATTACAGGTGACTTCATTGAATTATACAATATTCTTAGAGGACTTGACAGGGTACATGCAGAAAGGCTGTTTACTCTCATGGAAGAATCTAGGATCAGAGGGCATAATCTCAAAATATGGGATTGCACATTTAAAACAGAGATGAGAAGGATTTTCTTCTCCCCGAGGGTAATGAATCTGTGGAATTCTTTCCCACAGAGGGCTGTTGAGGCTGGGTAGTTAAGTATGCTCTAGGATGAGATAGGCAGATTTTTAATCAGTAAGGAAATCAAGGGTTACAGGGAAAGTCAGGAAAGTGGAGTTGAGGATAATCAGATCAGTCACGATCTCATTGAATGGTAGAACAAACTTGATGGGCTGAATGTCCTCCTTCTACTCCGATGACTCAAGGTTTTATCAGGTCAGTGTGAACTAAACTATATTAGCACAAATGTCTTGTTCTCCTTTGTCCAGCATTCACAATATCAACAGCTGAATGTAAATCATGCATATCAAATGAAGTATTTGCATAATCTACTGGATCCAACCTGCTGAGGTGCTGTTGAATGGCAGACTCCTCTTGAAATAAACATTGGCTGGAAACAGTAAAAAATTTCACCTATTGGATTTCCACTGTGCAATTTCTTTAACAAGTACCTACAGTTGTCAGTTTAATTTTTAATTGTAGGAATCAGGTACAATTATTTTACAGTTTCTTCGATGAGATTTCCCATTACTTGATGCCAGGCTGCTGTGCAAAATAAGGCTTTCCCTTTGGAACTGAACCATTCAGTTCAAACCAAAACAAGCTTCTGCTTCAATCTCTGATCAATGCAAAGTTAGTTGATCTCAGACAAACCTGTTGTTCATGATCTGCAGATGCCGGTGTTGGACTGGGGTGGACAAGGTCAGAAGTCATACAACATCAGGTTATAGTCCAACAGGTTTATTTGGAATCACACAAGCGTTTGGAGCACAGCCCCTTCGCAGGTGCACCTGACAAAGAGGCTGCACTCCGAAAGCTTGTGTGAAACCTGATGTTCAGTACAGTACAATAGACATTCAACAGAAAAGGAAAATCAGATTCCCTTCCTAGTGTGGCTGTACTGGTTTCTGTTGGAAAATGCACACGTAGAAATGTTAATTTTTTTCTCTGTTATACAGGCATTATAGTAAGCTGTACTTTATTTTTTCCATCCCCAATCACCCTGATTTGTTACAAATTAGATGTTTGTTCAATCACTTCCAACATACCAACTGGTATGGCAACTGCTCTGCCCAGGACTATAAAAAGCTGCAGAGTGTTGTGAACAGAGCCCAGTCCATCATGCAAACCAACCGTCCATCTACTGACTCCATCTAGACTTCTTGCTGCCTCGGAAAGGTAATCAATATCATCAAAGACCCCTCCCACCCCAGAGTTATAATCTCTTCCAATCTTTTCCGTCAGGCAGAAGATACAAAAGCTTAAACACACACACCAACAGGTTCAAGAACAGCTTCTTCCCTGCTGTTATTAGACTTCTGAATGGACCTCTAAAATTTTAAATTTAAATGTTGATCTCACTCTTTGTGCACCTTCTCTGCAGCCGTAACATTGTATTTCTTGCTCTGTTCTATTACCCTTATGCACTTTGTATGGTATAATCTGCCAGTACTGCATGCAAAACAAAAGTTTTCACTGTACCTAGATACATGTGACAATAATAAATCAAATCAAATCAAAAACTTCAATAAATGACAGCAAGTTTCCTTGCCGAAAGGGCATGCATGAACTGGTTGAGTTTTTAAAGGAAGCTAACAACTTCACAATAGCAGCTTCTGTTCTTATAAAACACTGAGTACAAATTCTGAAACTGACATGGTAGGATTTGAATTCTACCCCCTGTGGGTTATTAGTCAAAGTCACAAGATTATAATCTAGCAACATAGCCAAACACCACTGTATGCATGATGATATCAGAATGATTCCATATTGGAGTTTGACTGCATCCCGAGAATCAAAATGATCCATGACTCCTCCAACTGTCAATATAGAATCATACAATCCTTACTGTATGGAAGCAGGCCATTCAGTTCATCAAGTCCACACTGACCCTCTAAAAAGCATCCCACATATATCCACCATATGCTATCCCTGTATACCAATCCTCCGAGCCTGCACAGGCAATTCAGCATGGCCAATCCACCTAACCCGCTCATCTTTGGACAGTGGGAGGAAACCGGAGCACCCGGAGGAAACTCACGCAGACACGGGAAGAATGTGCAAACTTCACACAGACAGTCATCCAAGGCTGGAATCAAACCCAAATCCCATTTCCGAAGGGTCTAGACCCGAAACGTCAGCTTTCCTGCTCCTCTGATGCTGCTTGGCCTGCTATGTTCATCCAGCTCTACACCTTGTTGTCCCTGCATTGTGAGGCAGCAGTGCTAACCGCTGAGCCACCATGCTGCCATGTGTACAATTAGCACTTGGAGAAGGACATCCAAGTGTGCAGGCCACCCTCCCTTCTAGCTCCCAACATACAACAAGACAATCAAACACTTGCCGATTTCAGGGTAAAAATTCAAAATTAAAACATTAACAAAAATCACCCATTACATTTCCTTGCCCATCACAATATTAACATTTGAAAGAACCATCATTGCCTCAGGAAAACATTACCATGCAGCCACAATAAATCTGAAGCTGCCTTGTTTGCGTACAGGGAGCAGATGCTCCTCTTCCTGTCCTCATTTCTCAAACAGCAAGCATCCAGGCCCATGTGAAGTACTAGGGGAGGTATCACACAAGAGCTAGGGTCATTTATCCTCCCCAGAAGGGGAGCCTCTCCCTCATCTGTTCAATTTCAGAAAAGTTTTGTCTGAGCTTGGAGGCCAAGTTAATTTCCATCAAGGTTAGGGATGGTGGTGTGAGGACAGGGATCTCTGGTGGTGATGTGAACTGGGGAAGTGGCAGAAGAAGAAAGCTGACAAATTTGGTAATCAGATCTTGGGCAGAGAGGGGAAAAGATCAGTTTCAAAACAACAAACTAAATTTAAAATCTGCAGTCATGATTGCCCCTCCTTAATGAGACCACCTCAATTGTAGATGTGAGCAAGGATTAAAAGAAAAATGTCTGGGGTTAAAATTCATTTTGCGCCCTAATTGTCATCAAGCAAATTAAATCTACTAGACAACTTAACCCCATTTACAGCAATTATGTTCTCTGTGCTGTGCCTCCCGATTAAAGGTAGCCCATGCTATTTTGTTTTAGATTATAGTCCAGTCAATTGCCATTAACTGGAGGGAAGCCTAAGTTTTTTTTGTTAGAGTGAGGTTGTTTTAAATGATATCCTCTTTCCCAAGTATGGGAAATGCGAGCTGGATTCTTTGCATCATTGTCTTCACGCTTAGCTTCACGTTGTAGGGTTAAAGGGGGATAGCATGGGGCAAAACAATTAAACAATGAAGCAAAACCGCCTTGTACACCCAGTAAGCAGTGAATTGTAAACACAAGACACGTACAGAAGCCTCCATCCAGTCGGCCTCGGAGCGACCCGCTTGTTACACACACCCTGTTGACAAGACCAACAGGGGATCGCGTTAGCTGCAATCCAAACGTGCTCGTCTATTTCAACAGATGAAACTCCCCCAACGCCCCCATGACCAAAGAGAGAGAGAAAAAAAGAGAGGAGCTTGAATAAAATAAGCAAAGCGGTGCCCTCCCTTTCATTGCAGAGGAATAGACAACACATTCCCATTGCCTGTCTCTGTCTCTCAGCCCCCGGTCATTGTTCATCTCAACACGGATTCCCCAAGCGGGTTATATATATATGTGTGTGTGTGTGTGTGTTTGTACCATTCAGACATTCTTTCCCCTGCCGCCCTTACAAAGACTGGATTAGACAGGGAAATGAATGTGGTGTGCAGTTCAAATCGTTTCTGTCCCCACCCTCGCTTTTTTTTAAATAAACCGACTGGAAAGTGATTTCTCTCTCTTCCCCCACCCGCCCCCAGTATTTGTGACCCCGCACCGTGCTGCCTTCATTGTGCTACACTCACCGTGTACAGCTGCACCGTGCAGCGCTTTGGCGACGCTGGAACCGAGAAAGCACAGGAGGCTGAACCTCACAGCCGCAAGAGGTGGCATTCTTACAGGGACATCACTGGAGAGCGCGTCCGCCTCTCAGATCTCAACCATCCCTCCGCATCGCCTGCAACACGCTGAGGCTGATGCTTCCGAAACCTCCTTCCATCCCCCTTCCTCCCCAACACCACTACCCTCCTCCTCCTCTCTCCCTCCCTCCCCCCCACTGCGCTCCAGCCACATCAAATTCGCAAATCGCGTAATGGTCTGTTTCAGTGTCTTCAGAGAAAGGGGGAGGGAGGCAAAACAGAAAGGAAAATAAAATTGCATTCATTTCCCAGCGCCATCCTCTGTCCCACTCTGGCATAGCGGCGACCAGCGTCCGTCCTTCTGTTTGCATATGTATTAAAAAAAAATTAGTACCCTGCCCCTGGCCTTATTTAGGTTTACAACCCGACCCTAACAAGTGCCCGGCAAGGCTGTTCATTCAAGGGTCAAGTTAAATTGGTGCAATTTGATTTGGTGTCTTTGAGATGTGGTTACAAAGAGAGATTACTCCCCAGTTCAAGATACACAGAACGGGAAGTGGGGAGAGGGTTTGCATTTAAAGGTCAGTCATCATTAAGGGGTCACATTCTTACTGGATTGAAGAACATGAGTTCAAGTTCCACTCTAGGCGACAGAGAATCTAATCCAGGTGGGTGGCCCAGTTTTCCTGGCCTTAAGCAGTCCCTCAAGTGACCTATGGGCTCCGATATGGCTGACAGGTGCCAAGAAGTGG